TGACTTCAAAATATAGTCTATCTCAAATAATGTATGCTCTGTCATTTCCCCACGTAAACATAACAGTCTGCAATGAAATGGTTGTCTAATGTGTGTTCCACTTCCTCCTTGGTGCATCGGTAACTTTCTCAAAAAAATAAAATCAGGAAAACGGATTTGTTTCTCATGCGCACGAGAAACGAATCCGTTTTCCTTACTTTATTTTTTTTCTCTCTCCATTTTTTTTTTTCCATGTCCCTTTAGGGGCTCCGTAGGTTTTAGATGTGTTTAGAAGAAATATATTTCAGCAGATTTGTATCACCCAGATTCCACCTTTTCTGTTGAATGACTCCTTAGTCCAAGAGGGAGTCAAAAAACATGAATTTTCACTGTCATTTCTTTTAAGGAAAGAAAGCAGGCAAAATACTTTACAATACATTTAAAAAAGGTTTTAGAAAGGAATTGAATGAGCTAAAATAATCCACCCAAAACAACAACTCGATGCACACTCCAGTCCAGTTGCTGGTAGTAATGTATCTTCAAACTGGTTTGCAACCCGCAAACCATTAAAGAAGAAGAGTGAACATCCGGGTACATGCCTACATTCGCGCGAACATTTTTCAACACCAATGGCGTCGAAAGCAGGTGAGTGAGTGTGATGAAAGTGAAGAAATACTACTTTGTAATTAGGCAACATGACTAGGGTGTGGCGTATGTTGTTAGTTAGTTGATCATCAGCTTCAACTTTTAACCGTTAATATGCTTTGACCAATAGTTTTAGGCTGTTGTAAGGCTTACAGTGTAGCAAAACATCCAATCTGGGGGATTTAATGATTAAAGAACAACCACAAATAAGGCCGTTTCTTATTTTAGTCACACACGTGTTTAATAGCTCAACGCGTTGACTCGCTCCCATAACAAACCATTGCATTATTTCCTTAATTTAAAGCGTAATTCGTGTAAACAAAACAAACATTACATGTGTGTTTTTAGGTCGCAGAGGGACGAAGCGAAAAGCAGACGTCCAGGCGGAGGAGGAGCCGCCCTCCGTGGAGGAGAAGGACCGAGGAGAGGGGGAGGACCCGAGCAGGAGGGTGGTCATTGAACACTGGTGAGTGACATTATGAGTGGATAAGCCCTTAGTGGTGGAAGTACCTCGATACTATCAGGTTTAAATACTGTACATAAGTATAAAATGATGCCCGTTTTGCAGCCTGTAGTTTTTCAGTGGTGTCAACTAACTACATTTTTGAGGTAATTGTACTTTACTTAAGAATTTCAATTTAATGATACTTTGTATTTCTACTCCACTGCAATTCAGAGGTGAATATTGTACTTTTACTCCACTACATTTACTTTAGCTACTTTGCAGATATGGATTACTGATAACACAAAACAATGATCAACACTCATATAAAACTTAAGTTATTTAAATTCACATGCTACCTAACATTTGTTCCACCTTCACTAGCTTGATAAACACATTAATATATCAATGATTAGTATGATGATTCTGAAATAGGCCAATTGGCATAACCAGACATTTTACTTTCGGTAGTTCAGGTATATTTAGATGCCAAAACCTTTACTTGAGTAACATTTAGAATATGGGACTTTTACTTGTAACAGAGCATTCCTACACTTTGCTATTTTTACTTTTACTTAAGTACAATACCTCAGTATTTCTCCCACCTCTACTTGGGTATTACCATTTTATGGAACACTTCTACTCCACTGCACTTCAGAGGGAAATATTGTTCTTTTGAAGGTCTTGCATTTGTTTTGCCCGCTGTAGTTTATTAGATGATAGTTCCCTTCAAAAATGTTGAATATAAGTATAAAATAGTTGTAGTTGTTTTTATCATAAGCACTAGCAGTCACGCTCGTCATTGATGACTAAAGTAGGCTGAACAGACGTCCAACTGATGGTTGATCTGTTGTTCTGGCAGTAAGAGCTGACGAGTGTATGGGCGTAATGCTGAGGAGGTGAAATCTGCCCTCCTGGCTGCCCACCCTGATCTGACTGTGGTCTCCAACCCTGAGAAACCTCGCAGGAACAGCTTTGAGATCACTCTGCAGGATGGAGGAAAAGGTGAGGAGGACGAAAATGGGAAAACCAAGAATAACTCTGCCATCTGTTGTGACAAAGGGAAGAGGGAGTGTCATTATATAATTCTTTGGACTTTCAGTTATTTGTAGGGGCTTTTAGAGATTCAGTTTGTCACAATTATTGATAACCAAAACCTATTGTTTATTCCTCTGCTTGCCATGCACCTACTTGATTTGTATTTGCGAGGTTATAGGATATTCACCTCTTAGAAGAAATTGGTGTTGATGAATTACATTTAATTTGGTGTTCAAAGCAACAATAATATCACAAATAAATGTGCATAAACAGAATGTTAAGCCTAAGGATATGACTTTTAGACTAGCTTTGGACAATTATCATAATTTTAGTTCATTGGTAAACTATTTTCTGCCTTATTGAACTCTAATCAAAATAACAACAGGTAGCTGTGTTTATCAGAAATGCTAAAAAGAGACCAGAGAAAAAAGAATGACACGTGTGCAAACACATAATATTCCCTTATCTAATTGCCTATAATATGTTTACTTAGTAAAATGAGTTGATGTTAGTCACTTTCTGAAGTTAGTGTTGGAGTATCGGAGTCAACACATTTCCAAACATTTTCAACAAGCATTTGTTTTTTCTGCTAAGGCTTTGGAAACAAATTATAAGTGTTGGTTATCTTCTGTATTGCTCTTACAAATGTCACTCTTAATGTCCAATTCCTAAAGAAACATCTCTATGGACTGGAATAAAGAAAGGTCCACCACGAAAGCTCAAGTTTCCAGAACCTGATGTTGTGGTCGCTGCTCTTCAGGACGCTCTGAAGGCTGAGTAGATGCCTAGGTTTGTCCATTCAAAGCTATCAGACAGAATAATAAACAGATTGCAATAGCCACAAACATTATTCAAGAAATGCACTTAATAATTAAAGGTGTTCAACTTTAATAAATAGAAACGCAGAGTAGAACTGCGACACGTGTTTTGACTAATCGATCCAACAAAAAACTTGATTATTGCTGAATCAGTTTTTCATAACAGATATTTTAGAATATGTTGTTTTCAGACTCTCAAATATAGATGCAGTAGTTTTGGTGTTTTGTGTTATAGCAAATTTCACTTGGACTGAATTCCTTTGAGGTGTCTTTTGGCTGTGGTACACAACAGTGGTGTTAGAATTGTTGATATTTCAGAGTTTGACGAATGTTTATCTTGTCTTACATTACGTACAGCCGACAGTTCAGTGGATGTGGCCGTGGAGGCAGAATGATGAGGAGCGACGAATGAGATGTCCTCAGTCCCTCCTCGGATGATCGAGCTCCATCAGCTCACATCTTCTGGATGAATGCTGACATCTAGTGGCGCGTCTCTGAGCAAATACATTTCTAAATTCCCCAGTCCTGCTGTTTAAAAAAAACAAAACGTGTTTCTTCTTATTGTTATGTCTCAACGGTTTATTGTACTTTAAATTTTGTTTTTGGTGAATAAAGTTGTTTTTGTTTCATAATTACTTGTGGGTGTATGTTTTTGACTCCAGCCAATAGTTTTTTTATATGCTATGTTTTTTTTGTATATTGCAACAACACCCTGAAAAGGTTTTTCTGTTGTACAAGGCTTTTATTTTATGCCACTGTCTACTTCTACTCCACTAGATTTCAGATGGTAATATTAAAATCAGTAAGAGAGCATTTTCCTATTACTTATTTTTATGTTGGTAATGTAACAATATTACGTTTTCACTCTAGGCTCTAGATATTTTTGACATTATTTCTAACTAGTTATTAGAAACCAAACAAGCATTTAATCGAGAAAGTTATACATTAATAGTTAACACCTTTACCTAACCTCCGACAACACAAATCATGAATATACAAATATCCTTTTATTATGATTGCAAGAACAATGATCTAGAATAACAGTCTGAGATGATATTTTTCTGCATTTAGTTATTTGCCTTTTAATACCTTATTTACATATTTCTGTTTTTACTTGCATACCTTTACTTAACTTTTTCACATGACTTGTGTAGTTATTAGAGTATTTGTACAGTAGGACATTAGTACTTTCAGAGGTGTGTGATTTATAAAACTATAAAGCTAAATTATAACCTAATACATATATGAACCCACTCTTCAGCTCCTAAGACATTTAGGAATAATGAAAGAAGCATTTTCTTCTCTCGATAAAATGTATAACTACTTTTAAAATCTTGTTTTGAAGCCAACTTCAGACATGATAGGTTGGGAACGACGTGACGTCATCATTACGGGACCAGCCACAGAGTTTGGAAACCTATTTCATTCTACAATACGCCTTGAAAAAAGTCCGTAAGTACTACACTATACAAAATAATCCACTCGTAGACATTCACCTGACAATATGGGAGTAGTTTATTGATGTTTGGAGGATTTGTTAAATCCTCATTCCACCTTTACTGCTGAAGTTAAGAGGGCTAATTTAGCTACGACTTGCTAACGGCTAGCTAGCTGGTCTTGCCATCGATGAGATAAATAGTGTTTTTATCGATAAGTTCACATTATAAGACCTGTTGCTACAGCCAGCAATCAGCCAAGGACTGGGGGTATTTCTGCTTTTCAAGATGATTGTTTCAATTCACATCTGTTGGGCTTCTTCCATGTCACTACACAACTTACTATCGTAATTGCACGTTACATTTGTGGACATGTGTTCACAACTTCACAGTGATCTCAATGGCTGTGTTTGGTATGATTAAGTCAACTCTTACTTTAAAAAAAACAAAATATATATAATACTCATTCAAAAAATAAGACACGCAACTCTTAAAAAAAAATATATATATATATATATATATATATATATATAAATAAAAGAGGCGTTGTAAGATATTCTACTGTTTATTATTCCTGTAACGTTTCTTTAAATGTGCTGTTATCGCCATGTGTTTGTTACCTGGACTTTCTCTTGTCAGTAATGGCCACAGAAGGTGTGGAAACCACAAGTGAAGAGGTCCCAGTACCTGGAAAGGTCAGCACCAGGTATGATCTCGAGAAGGAGACTGAACTCAGGTTTGAGGTGGAGTCAGGGGAGGCAGTGGAGCAAATTGAACTGGAGCTCCTCACAGGAATGGCTGAGGTGTTTGGATCAGAGCTGAACCGCAACAAGAAATACACCTTTGGAGCAGGAGCCAAGATTGCAGTTTTCACCTGGCAAGGCTGCAGTGTGAATCTCTATGGGAAGCCAGAGGTGAGCCACTGGAAGAGGGTCCATGCAAATGTGTGAATGTTTTAATGTGTGGTTTTTTTGTGGGGTTATTTGGCGATTATGCTTTCCAATTGGATACGGCACCACATTTAACCCTGCGTAACTTTGGGATTTTGACATTTGATGTATCTCTCCTTCATCAGGTGGCTTATGTGTCTAAAGATACTCCCATGCTGCTCTACCTGAACACACATGCTGCCCTGGAACAGATGAGAAGACAAGCAGAGCGGGACAATGAGAGGGGGCCAAGGGTAGGTTTGAATTTAAAAAAAAAATACTGTCTTCTGGGGATGTTGTATATAAGCGTACCAGATCTCAGTAAATGCATTTTCATTGATCTAGAATATTTTCTCATTCCTCAGGTTATGGTGGTTGGACCTACAGATGTGGGGAAGTCAACAGTGTGCCGGCTTCTGTTAAGCTACGCTGTAAGGGTGGGCCGGCGGCCGACACTAGTGGAACTGGATGTTGGACAGAGTGGGGTGAGATACATTTGAGTTATCATTAACATTGACCTAGACTATGAAAAGGAGAGGAATAACAACAACTGATATTTAAATATTTTGCATTGTTTAGTCAACCAGCAATCCTCAAGGTTTTTTTTACAATAGTTAGAGCAAACTTCTTTTGATATCAAGAGTTAACAACATTGGGCTCATCAGGTGTCAGTACCTGGGACAGTTTCGGCACTGTGCATTGAGCGCCCAGCAGACGTGGAGGAGGGTTTCTCCGTCCAGGCTCCTTTGGTCTACCACTTTGGCTCTACTACCCCAGGGACAAACATCAAACTTTACAATAAGGTAAGAAAATTAAGATTCTGGCTGTTGGGTAACATCAGAGCTTAAAAACAAAAGCCCACTGCCAAACTACAAACTTGGTCTGCATTGTCATCAGTTATTTAGTTTTATTCGCCTCCAAGTTTCTCACAGTTCTTTTCTCACCATTTATAGCTGACGTCATGCCTGGCCGAGGTGTATTCCCAGCGCTGTGAGGTGAACAGGAAGGCCAGCGTGGGAGGCTGCATCATCAACACCTGCGGGTGGGTGAAGGGCTCTGGATATCAAGCTCTGGTCCACTGTGCCTCTGCCTTTGAGGTGGACGTGGTGCTGGTGCTGGACCATGAGAGGCTCTATAATGAACTCAAACGAGACCTCCCTCACTTTGTACGGGTTGTGCTGCTCCCTAAGTCCGGAGGCGTGGTGGAGCGCTCCAAGGAGTGCAGGCGGGATACTCGCGATGAGAAGATCCGCGAGTATTTCTACGGCTTCAGGGGAGTGACCTTTTATCCCTTTTCCTATGAAGTACGTTTCTCAGATGTCCGCATCTACAAAATCGGAGCACCATCCATCCCGGACTCATGTTTGCCCCTGGGAATGTCTCAGGACGACACACAGCTGAAGCTGGTGCCTGTGACTCCAGGGAGAGACCTTACGTATCATGTGCTGAGCGTGAGCAGCGCAGAGGACGGAGAGGAAGGGGCTAGAAAGGGTATCGTAGAGAGCCCTGTGTGTGGCTTTATCGTGGTGACTAATGTGGACACACAAACACAGGTGATGAAGGTGCTGTCCCCGGCACCCAGACCCCTGCCCAGACACACTCTGCTTATCATGGACATCCGCTTCATGGACAGTAAATGAAGTCGCACTTTAGGGAAGAGGACCGAGTGTGAATTTCTGTTGAAAAAAATATTGTTTTCTACTTTGTTTTCTATATGCTTTGTAAGGACTACAGAGGGCAAAATAGTAAGATTTAAGGACTGAAATTAGTAGCTGCTGCAAATGTACCCTATTTTATAAAACACTGTACAGACGTTTTGGCTATTTGTGACAATGGGATATTTTTATTATTGCAGGAACTGTTTCTTTGATAATCTGTTTTGAAATGTTTTTGTTTGTTGAGTAATAAATGTTTTAAATGTAAAAAAAATGCTGTTTTGTTTCAATTGCATTTAGTTCCATGGTTGAGTACCTATTCTATATTAGCACCGCATGTCAGTATATCTGATGACATTTCTGTGCACAGTGGGGCAAACAATGATTTAGTCAGCCACCAATTGTGCAAGTTCTCCCACTTAAAAATATGAGAGGCCTGTAATTGTCATCCTAGGTATACCTCAACTATGAGACAAAATGAGGGAAAAAAATCCAGAAAATCACATTGTCTGATTTTTAAAGAATTTATTTCCAAATGATGGTGGAAAATAAGTATTTGGTCACCTACAAACAAACAAGATTTCTGGCTCTCACAGACCTGTAACTTCTTCTTTAAGAGCCTCCTCTGTCCTCCACTTGTTAACTGTATTAATGGCACCTGTTTGAACTTGTTATCAGTATAAAAGACACCTGTCCACAACCTCAAACAGTCACACTCCAAACTCCACTATGGCCAAGACCAAAGAGCTGTCAAAGGATACCAGAAACAAAATTGTAGACCTGCACCAGGCTGGGAAGACTGAATCTGCAATAGGTAAGCAGCTTGGTGTGAAGAAATCAACTGTGGGAGCAATTATTAGAAAATGGAAGACATACAAGACCACTGATAATCTCCCTCGATCTGGGGCTCTACGCAAGATCTCACCCCGTGGGGTCAAAATGATCACAAGAACGGTGAGCAAAAATCCCAGAACCACACAGGGGGACCTAGTCAATGACCTGCAAAGAGCTGGGACCAAAGTAACAAAGGCTACCATCAGTAACACACTACGCCGCCAGGGACTCAAATCCTGCAGTGCCAGACGTGTCCCCCTGCTTAAGCCAGTACATGTCCAGGCCCGTCTGAAGTTTGCTAGAGAGCATTTAGATGATCCAGAAGAGGATTGGGAGAATGTCATATGGTCAGATGAAACCAAAATAGAACTTTTTGGTAAAAACTCAACTAGACGTGTTTGGAGGAGAAAGAATGCTGAGTTGCATCCAAAGAACACCATACCTACTGTGAAACATGGGGGTGGAAACATCATGCTTTGGGGCTGTTTTTCTGCAAAGGGACCAGGACGACTGATCCGTGTAAATGAAAGAATGAATGGGGCCATGTATCGTGAGATTTTGAGTGACAACCTCCTTCCATCAGCAAGGGCATTGAAGATGAAACGTGGCTGGGTCTTTCAGCATGACAATGATCCCAAACACACCGCCCGGGCAACGAAGGAGTGGCTTCGTAAGAAGCATTTCAAGGTCCTGGAGTGGCCTAGCCTGTCTCCAGATCTCAACCCCATAGAAAATCTTTGGAGGGAGTTGAAAGTCCGTGTTGCCCAGCGACAGCCCCAAAACATCACTGCTCTAGAGGAGATCTGCATGGAGGAATCGGCCAAAATACCAGCAACAGTGTGTGAATACCTTGTGAAGACTTACAGAAAACGTTTGACCTCTGTCATTGCCAACAAAGGGTATATAACAAAGTATTGAGATTAACTTTTGTTATTGACCAAATACTTATTTTCCACCATAATTTGCAAATAAATTCTTTAAAAATCAGACTGTTATTTTCTGGATTTTTTTTTTCTCATTTTGTCTCTCATAGTTGAGGTATACCTAGGATGAAAATTACAGGCCTCTCTCATCTTTTTAAGTGGGAGAACTTGCACAATTGGTGGCTGACTAAATACTTTTTTGCCCCACTGTATGTCCAGTACGTAATGGATTGTGTCTTCACTTAGTTAGAACTTCATCAAGCCTGGGAAAAGTATTTTCCAAAAAAGTCATCCAACATTTACAAACGTATGGTCAATGTGTCTGTGGAGTGGGAGAAGTGTTGTGTTGTGTGCATGTGTGTTTGGAAAGAAGTAGGGCAAAGGCCACTAAACTGTAGGCCACATCCTAACTGAAATACATTACAATATGTCCGTTATTGTTAGGCGCACCACAATACAAGCTCTTTTGTTGTTTGTACTGTAAACACCTGCCAGCACACACTTGAGTTCATCAACTATTCTACAATCATACATACTGTTGGAAAACATGTATTATCATACAGTAACAAGCTCTCTTTGTTGTAGGTTGGTCTGTTGTGGGGGATTTGAGCTGACCATCTGGGTGAAAACTTTGCAAATAAATTGTTTAATCAAGCTTCTGTACTAAATCTCCTGCAAAGTTACCACCATGCATTATTACTGTTTTCTTTTCCATTCGAAGCAAACAATAATAAACTAATGACAGTTGTGTGACATAAAGCATTTTAACAATTGATTTTATAAAAAAGGTTTATAGCATCTCAGTAAAAACCTATTGAAATAGATGACACAAAGGAGGAAGCAGTTGATTTATAGTTCAGTAATTCCATTTCATGACATTTGTATTTGTTTATTCTATTATATTCTATATTTGTGATGAATTGAGCTTTATCAATGTATCATCAATGATGGTTTGTACTCAGTAACAACTTTATCCAGATTCTATCTATTTAGGAATTGAACCTCCGTATTGTGTTTAAACACATTTTACATTTCACATTTTATGAAGCTATTTGACCGTCGATTTGGGCGATAAATGTAGTGGTGTAAATTAACTAAGTAGATTTACTCAAGTACCATACTTAAGTATAATGTTAAGGAACTTGTACTTTACTTTGTACTAATACCCCACTACAATCCAGAGACAAATCATGTACTTTTACTCCACTACATGAATTGAAAAGCTTTATTTACTTTGCAGATTTTGATGAATGATGTGAAATATCACCAACACTTAAATAAGACTAGTTACACCTGGAGAAAATTCAAAAGCTACCCTGCAGCATAAAGTAATTAAAATGAGCTGCACCTTTACCAGCTATGATCAACACATTAATGCATCAATGATTATATTAAATCATATAATATATATTATTCTGAAATGGAACAATCTCTCTAATAAATACTTTAAAGTATTTTTTTACGTTTTACTTTTGTACTACTTCAGTACAATTTGAATGCAGGACTCATGCTTCAAACCTACACTACCCACACTTAAGTACAAGATCTGATTCCTTCTTCCAACTCTGGATAATTGTAAAATCATACAGTAAAAGTTCATTATCATTCGGGGTTGTTTCTTAAGACCACACCTGCTCCTCTCTGATTGGCTGTTAATCCCACCTGAGGGACGACGGACTACTTCCGGGATTCCGATGTCGGCCTAGCCATCGAGCTAACTAGTTTGCTAGCGGCTAAACTCAAGGAGGACCGTAACGACCCACACCCCACAGGCACGACAGCTCGCCTGTTCGGCATTAGGTATGTCCTTCTTGTTTTACCTGCCTTATTTGGTCACTGTTTAGCCGAACATGTATCCTGCTAGCCGCCAATAAACGCTACTCATCGAGTATAAAGCTCCCATGCTAGCCAGGTAATGTTAGCTAACTATTATAGCTGTGGTAAAGGACTGAGCAGTGTCGCAAAAACTTTCGAGGCTAAGGTAAGATCTAGCTGATTTTTAAGTACGGTTTAAATATGTCGTTATTGAATTGAGCGATATTACACAGAGATGAAACAACGCAGCGTCTATCATTGAGTTTAACAAAGTGAAGTGTGTTTTTAATGAGGTTTATTGTGGTCGCTGTCTTGACTTATTCCTGGCACTGCCCTGGCCTGTTGTTAAACGCTTTGGTCTGTATGCTCGAAAGATGATAGTGACAGTCAATCAACTGATTTATAACAAAACAAGGCACCAGCAAGATGTTTGACAGATACTTGGAACATTTAGTAAACTCATTGGCACTTTAACGATGTAGATTGCGAGCTGAAGATTGTTGAGGTGACATGACAGGTCGACATGGGGATTTTAGGATTCACATCCTTTATAGTGTATTGTTTGTTTTGCAGGTGAGCTGATAAACAACAGTCACACTGATACTCAAAGATCTGTATTTGTGAGCAATGATGACTGTTGAGAAGAGGGGTGTGTCTAAACTATCAGGTTTCACTGTTACTCCGGATCCGTTTTCAGTGTGCTCACTTCGCTTTATTTCATCTGGAGATGAGGGAAATTAGTCTGATGTATGTCAAAGGCGTTCAGGCTCGTCCCAGATCGTTGACTCCCTGGTGTTTTGAATTTCAAGAAGTGGAAGGACGTGTTTCATTTGACTACCGGAGGGCATTGAGGTGACACGAGTGTGTTTAGCAACATCAGGCAGTTGAACAATATGAGTAATGGTGGGAAACGTCTGATTGTTGTGAAATCAGAGTGAAACATTTGCTCCTCTTAGATAACTGTCTGTGTCATGTAACCTAACAAGGAAATCAACTTTTGACAGTGAAGTGTAAACTTGCAAAATGAAACATGGATACGTTTCCATTCACTTAGTAAATGGAAGGCCAAAGTTATTTGTTACATCTTTGAATCTGCTAATAAAATATCAGTAATTATAAATTAATGAAATGCTCTTTATTTAATAAAAAAGCCCAAAATGCTGTTATTATCCAGCCAACTATAAAAAAAAAGAAAGAAAGATGTTTGATTTACAGTCATGAAGACAAAGGAAAACAGCATATGCTTAAAAATGAAATTTGTCTCATATATGTTTTTTGAAATCGCTGCCAAATAATAATCAAGTTCTTATTTCATCTGTAACTATTGAAAGCATTCGTTTTTGTTTACCACTGACATTTCTTTAATTGTTTTCCTTACAGGGGCATCTAACAGCCGACCCACAGAGCCAGTCGGTAAAAGACAACAGAAGGATAGCGGGAAAACGGGACTAAAATGCATCAGACTACATAACACCACTGCTGCACATGACTTTGTTTAAGAAATGCAAAATGGGAAAGGAGGTCTATCTGCAGAGAATTTGCAGGTGGGAGATGTCCTTTCACCCAGAACCGGCCAAGTACGATGAAGCTTTGATGACATACAAAGGACTTCTTTTTGGAATGAGTTGATTTTGTCCTCATAACAACACAAAGACTGGAGGCAAGGGTCTCGCAAGAACTAAGGGTCTCTGGCTGAGCGATT